TAGGCTAAGAAAAAACAAAAACCTTGGCCAGAGCAGTTAAACTGCTTCTTGAGACATGTTTTTTGGGGGGGTTCAGGCCTCAAATTCTCAGCCAGCATTTTCTGTCTCTGGTGGAAATTTGAAAAAAAAAAAAAAAAAATCAAACCAAAACAAACAAAAAACCCAACACCAACAAAAACAAAAAAACAAAACAACAAAAAACACCCAAACCAAAACAAACAAACAAAAAACACACAAAAAAACCCAACCAAACAAGAAAGCAAAATAGGAAATACCAGGTTTGTCTGCTTTTCAGGAATCCAGAGAACAAACATGAGTTCCTAAAGCATTTGCAAGAGATATGAATTGACCCCAAAGCCCCAGCATCCTTCCATCAAAGATCATAGTTATTCTGAAAAAAGCCAGCAGTGCCTGGTTCCAGACCAGAGTGCTCCCAGACACACACAGTGCTGCAAAGCGGGAAGGGAGCAGCCTGGCCATGCCAACTCCCATTTGACCCACATTCCTGTGCAAACTCCAGTTGTGCTCTCACAGAAGGGGAGAGCCTGGTCCACCTGATGCTGAAGTCTCCATCACTGATACTTGAGCCTGACAACACAACAGCTTTAATGACTCTCAGAAACCTTTGACACAAGGACCATGGCTTGTGCTGCTCACTTCAGTTTCAGACAGGTGCACAAACCCCTTGGTTTAACCAATTGGTTGTCATCCTGCAGTGAATGAGGCCAGAACTAATTTTCTCTGTTTAATTTATGTTTCAACATTCTTATTCTAAAACTGTACCTGGATATGTGGGCACCAGCAGGTGCATTTCAACAGTACATAAACCATACCTAAACAGTCCTGTTCTCATTCCTGTGCTCCTGCAGGAGCACACCACTTCTCACACCCAGTCTGCTACTTGGCTTCCTTTTCTCTTTCCCTTTTAAATGGCACAGACAGTCGATGAAGAGCCAGGCACTCACCTTGACCCAGACTTGAATCTCCACCAGAGTTTCTCAGCAGAAACAACCAGTTTTGAAATGAGAGAAAATGCTTGACAGGTGTTCCCAGGCGACTGGCCAAAAATAAATGCACTCTCCAGTTAATTTTCATCTGAGTACTATTAAAATATCTCCTTTAAGAATGCAGCTGAAGCATTTGATTTACACAAGGTGAGGCATTTGTTTGCAGTCACCCGACAGACCCACCACACAACAGGGAACAGTCAAACCCATTTTAATCACCTATGTAAGGTCCCCACGCTCTCCATTACAGACAAGGGATCTTTTAGGGTGTGATTAACCGTAATTAGGAACCTACCTCTCACCTTTGATTATACCAGTAGTCTAGACAGCTAGTGTTGGCAGAGAACTGACAGACTTAAAATTACCTTGTACAAATATTCCCCAATGCATCGGTTCTACAAGGAAACAGACCGGAGGTTCTTCGAGAAGAGAGTTATACCGAGTAGTACTCGACACTTGGCAGGCGGTGAGGAGCAGATAAGGCTGTTTACAGACAGCTCTACTCGGCCGTGATTTCTACCAGGCAACTCCCTGCATCCAGCACAGAACGCCGCAGGGTGGGCTAACCGGGTCCCGAAGCCTCCGAGCCGCTTCCTTCCGCTCAGCTGCTGGCACTGGACGAGAAAAGTCTGCCACATGTCAACTCTGGCGTAGCACCAGAGCCGGCAGCATGGCGACCCGCCAGCCCATTGCTCAGTAAAACCTACTCCTTCCTTCAGCGCGACAACGCAGCTGTGACAGCAGAGCCCGGAATATCCTCAAGTCCTGTGGCCGCGGGCTGCTGGGTAGTGCAGGCTAACGGCTGCTTGTAGCTCTCATCTCCTACTACTGCTTCTACTGCTTGCCTTTTTTTCTTTTTTTACCCCAAGGAGCCACTTGGATCATAACTTTAACCAAGACTTTAGAAAACAAGGCATCCAGAATATTTGGCCAAATGCATTCTAGTGTCATTAAAGAATTTAAGAGCTCCCCCAAATTAGCAAATTTTTTACTTAAAAAAAGAATTGTTGTGTTTGAAAATAGTGCCATAAAACAATACCTCAGGCAGGAGATAGACTAAGGTTGAAACGTATTTAAGCCCCTGAAATTACTCGCTTTAAATTTTCACTTTCCATCCCAGTTAACTGTGTGGCAAGGCTGTGCATTGCTACATGACAGTTCCTTCTACTTTTCAAACAGCAGCACTTCAGTAGTAGCTAAATTGATGCTTTTCATGGGTCCATCACTTACCGAGGGTAATTGCTTAGTGCCTGTGAGACGCTCTGAGATCTAACGGATTACATATTCTAAGCCTGCTAAATTATTCGAATAGACTTAGGAAGAAAAATATTCAAAATTTTGTGTGATTCAGTATTGCCTTTCCCAATCAGCATTTCCCGTTCCTGTATTTTTGCTCAGTTAGAAAAAAAAGTGTGCTAAGCCCAGGGAGCAAGAACAGTTGAACATGACACCTGTTAAAATGTAATGGAAAGCGAGTATATTTTTCCACTGAGAGTTTATTTGATGACTGTTTATTCCGCTATTTAAAGATTACAGCTTTAATCTAGTTCAAGAGAAGAAAATGGAAAGGTCTCAGCTTCCTCGAGCTCTGAGCGATTCAACGGGCAGACGGCACTGCAGCCCCAAACAACAGGCTATGTTCGAGGCTCCAGCCTCACAACACATCCTCTGTGGTACAATTTGGAAGCATTTAAGCTCAGCTGCCTTAAACACAGCCCAAACCAAGAATAGCCTCGGCTCCCGAGCACAGGTCAGGCGATGCTGAATGACTTGCTGGCCGGGGCCCAGGCTTTCCAGCTGCCTTGGGTTCGGCCTCCTTAAAGATACAACTTGTGCCTGCCGCACACAGCCGCAGCTCCAGCTGGGCATGACCAGACAGGGATGGCACCCTTGGATGCCAGAGGGTTTAGCCAGATGCGTGATTCCAATATGAATTCCTGGTTCGTATCGCCCTGTTTCCCTCCAGCTTCGGAGCGTAGCACTGCTGCTGCCTTCCTGCCCATTCAAAGCTACATTCATACATCTCTTTGTAATGAATCAACTCCCAGGCATCGGTGCACACCCCAGGCTCACACAGAACGGCAAACAATATACTGTCACGGGTTGCATCAGCTGCACGATGCTCTCTCATGCCTTCAGGCTTGCTAAAGCTGATCCACGCTAATATAATAATAGCCTTTTTACCCGCCTCCTCCCCCAACAATTACCGGAGGCTTGGAAAGCCATTGAAATGCAAATAGCACAAGGAGAGGTTATTGGGAACCAGACTGGGAAGGTACAAATGCTGTCCTGCTAGTTTCCTTTAGTTTGACACGGACAGGGCTGTAGTCCTGAATTTCTCTTTGAATTAACAGGGAGAAAGGCAATATTGCGGATGTATAAACGGCTAAGTGTAGAAGCTGAAGTGCATCTTCTCCAGCATCGCTTCTCTCTATCTGGGACCCCTGTTACTCCCCTTAGCTGCTGCAGTAGCAGAGAACTGCACAGCACAGAACTGTCTGTAGCTACGATAATACTACAAAAACTCACAGAGACGCGCTCAGTGTGGGTTTGAAAGAACTTGCCCCCACAAGGCAAGGCACTGTGGAACCTGCAGTTTGCTCTGTGGCCACAGACGAAAATCAGAAATACAGCATCCCTCTCCCTGTTATTCCACTTCATCCTTCAACCCAGGCGCTTCTACAGAGGACAGGACACCCTGTCTCCCCGCCCCATCATGGTCTGTTTGCCTACTATCTTTTCAGGTAATGTTTCAACCAAGGACAAAAAAGGGCTTTCTGGACTCAAGGCAGTCCTGACACTTGGCTGGAGCAGCCACTACCAGCAGTGTGTACCAGTTGCTGTGAGGTGACACGGGACTACGATGACCCAGACAATTTTTTAGGCTCTCAGTCCCCAGTAAAGCTTCAGGAATACCTCCTAAAAATAGTCTGCATCGTCATTGCCCTTTCTGTAGAAAAACAACCTAAAAATATAATAAAGAAGATATTTACCCTGTTATTAACAACCTCCTACCCCCGCTCAAAAGAGCCACAGAGAAGAGGGTCCAGCACCGGCTGCACAAGAGGTAACTCGTGTGCTTTGGCGAGAAGGCGGCTGGAGGCAAATCTAACGGCAGTTTACAACCACTCAAGGGCAGTTATTAACACGGCAGAACCAACACAGCTGAGGGTGATGGCTAAAGTGTCAGCGGGCGGGGCAGACCGAACTCAGGGAAATCTTGGCAAGGCAGTGAGACAGCATGGCCTTTGGTAACCTCTAGGAAGGTAGGGGGAGCTTTCAGCCCTGGAGGTTTTCAGACCGGTGTCCATGGGTCCCGCTCCGATGGGGCCTTTGGGCTGGAGACCTCCAGAGGTCGCTTCCAGCCAACAATTCCATGGCTCCGCAACCCCCACGTTAAATACTTGACATTAAACGGTGAAATTACAGCTCCTTCCCCTGTACTTCTCTACTTTCCCTGGAGCAGGGCAGAGCACCCAGGCCCGCACCACCGCGCAATCTCAGTACCTCTACGGCCTCCCAGCTGGAATGCGCGGCCGTCCCCGCCCCAGGGGTGCTATCCGCGGGCACAAGGGGCTCCCCCAGCGCCGGGATGCTGCTGCCGGGGCTGACGGACGGCAGGGGCCCGGCAGAAGCAGTCCTAACCCCTCCTCCGTTCCCTGTGCGTCTCCCCATGGCTATTTGCCGCCCGGATCTCCCCACTCGGGTGAGCACATGTGGGACTGACGCCGGTGGCAGCCCCACTCCCGCCCGGCGGAAGGATGCACGCTGAGACCACGTTTTCGCCGAGAGGAAAAGGCCAATAGGTGCCGGGGCTCGGCCAGCCCCCGGGGGCCGCGGGGTCCCCTCACAGCCACCCCCTGCCCTGCGTGGGGCCGGGGCGGGGGCGCGGCCTGGTGGGGAGGGCGGAGGGCGGTGGCGCGGAGTGCCCGCCCCTCACGGCCGCGTCCCGCCCTGGCAGAGACGGGAGCCGAGCCCGCGCCAGACGGAGCCCCGCCGCGCCATGGCTGGCCGCCGCTTCCTGTGGCTGCTTCTGGTCTTCGTCGCGCTGTTGGGCGCAGGTAGGGCGGCCCGGGCCAGGCGGCGGCGGGAGGGGGCGGCCCGGGGGGAGAGGGGGGGCCTGGGAGGCGCTGCGTGGTGTGCGCATGATCGCGGCGCCGGGCCTGGCCCGTGAACGGCGGACCATCGCCTCCGGCCAGGGTCACCTCGATGCTCTCCCTGGGGGATGTAGGGATTGCGGCTCCCTCGCCTGGGGGATTCCCGGGCTGGGTATTTCCCCTGGTAGCACGAAGCCTGCCCCGGCAGGGCTCACGGGGCCGGAGAGATGCGCCTCGAGGAGGAGCCCCAGCTGGGAGGATGCACCCCTAGGGGATCGCCTTAAGCAGGGGGCTGCACCCTTAGAGCCCCACCCTGCGCAGAGCACCCCGACTCCGCAGCGGATGGCGGAGTGCCAGCCTGTGCTTCAGGGCCGGGCCACAGGCGATTATTGTCCCCTTTCCTTCTCCCGATCCTCACCCTGGGCTCTGCCCACCTCCGACTCCCCTGTCCCTGCTCCCCCCGTTCGCGATGGGTCCGGTTCCGCACCGGTACCCACAGGCAAGGCGGCTCGAGCCCTGCGTTAGGTGACAGTGCTGGTGACGGACGCATCTCGGAGCGCAGCGTTTGCCTTCGAGTGACAGTGTTACAGCGATGCTTAAGATGTGCGATGCTGTAGGTGTAAAGCTCTGGAGCAGCCTGGGGCTCAGCTAATCCTAAACAGCGGTAGCCGTGGAGTCGCCGCGAAAGGAGTTTGAGTTTGTCTCTCTGCTCGCTGAGCTGTTGGATTAGCGGATTCTCTATGTGACCCAAATTTGTCGGGCTGCTGGTTGTATTCTCAGTCGTTTTGTCCCACTGTTATTTCTGCAGATCAGAACAGTCTAACCCAGAAATCAGTCCCAGCTGAGAGGCAGCCAGGAAGGCAAAAAAAAAAAAATCCTGTTTTTAGGAGGGTGGGGAGAAAGAAATTAAGATCAATGCAAAACTTACCACAACTCTTTGTCTCCTTAAAAAAACCCAACAGTACTCTTAAAAAGCTCTGTGTTTGAATTGAAAAGAAAGGTCCTTCTAAAGGTTATATTGAGAAAATAGATTGCAGTTATGTAAAGGCCTCAGGAAAGTTTTTCTAAACAAAATCTGCTGTTAGCTAGGAGGCACCCGGCAAGCACAAACTGGTTAGAAGATATCAGCGTCAAAGCAGATAGCGAACTGAACCCCAAGCAGTTTTTGCTGTTGGAATAGATTAGTTTTTCCATAAGTCCGCCTGGAATTAGTTTGTTTGCATTTGGTACTTACCTGTTTGTGCACCTAGAATGGTAACAGCGTGGTACAGAGCTGCTTATGCTGACCAGGTTAGCGGCTGCCTTTGTAATTAATGGCTATCAGTTTTGCAGGCTGAGCTGTGCTGATACAGTGCATAAAATCCTGATTTTAGGTTAAAATAAAAAAGAAATCTGATTAGTCAGTATTAAAGCTATTTGCATTCTGTGTTGTTTGCAGTGTAGGCAAACAAAAATGCTGTTCTGTTGCATTTTGGAGCTCTTGGGCTGCAGAGTCCCTCTCTTAAATATCCTTGGCTGTGTTTGTATCACAATGAATTTCGCTGAAACATTAATAAGTCATTCCTGCCAGCCTGAGGCTTCCCAGGTAATTGAAGTTTGTCTCCTCTCCGAACTGCTTTAAGTTGCCTCTCCATGGCGAGCGTTGTGTATGGGGAAGTGGGCTTTTGCCTCCCCTCCCCTGCAGAGCCTTGCTGACATGGGACACAGAAGCGAGATGCTGGTGTGTGGCACAGCCTTTCCACACAGCCTCTGGTTCCTCCCCGGTGTATTCTGGCAGTGGCTCTCCCAACCCATGGGTGGGTGCCTGCTCCTCGCTCTCTCTCTCAAATGTGTTGGAACAGCTTTGCAGCACCCTGAGAGAGCCTTGGGATCTCTTCCCCACCTGAGCACTGAACATGCCTTTTGGGTATGCTAATACAACCTCCCTACCATCATCCTGTACCCATGGGAAAATAACGGGTGGTGGGAAGGCAGCGGGTTTCCCAGGCAAAGCATTCTATGCCATTTCTTAAGAACAGCAGCAATAGAAATCACACACTTCTTCATTGCTTCTGTTCCCTGGCTTTTTTTTTTTTTCGGCTTCTTGTTCTGAAACAGTCGCTCCAGCAGTGCTGAAGGCAGGCTGTGTGCAGGCCGTTCTCTTGGAAGCTCAGAGATTTACAAACTACCAAGAACTAAGGGTAACAAACAACAAAATCAGTACTTAGCGTGATTCCTGAATCTGTGGTCCAGATCCACTGCTGACACAAGATTGATGTGTGTCTTGTCTGTGACTGCCCAGTAAAGCAGGAGCAAACTTCACTTTTTAATTGAAAGAAATGGGTTTGGGTTTCTCTTTGATCAAATTCTAGTGCATTTCCCTTCGTTCATGGCTGTGTGCTTCAGTGCCATATCAGTGGGCTATCAAATACAGCTGTGCCACATCCATCTGTGCCTCCAGGCTGCCTCTGCCCACAGCCCATCTGTGTGTGGCTGCCGTGCTGGAAACAGGCATTGCTTCTAAGGCACCGACCCATTTGCTGGTGCTGTTACACTCTGGCGTATTCCCAGTGTATTGGGGAGCAGAAGAAGCATTAAAGTATTTTGAGACAGTGGAGAAAAGCAAACACCCTGCAAAGCCTCTTGGCTGTAGCCAGAGGCAAGCATTCCCTATGCCAGCACTGTTGCAGGGCGTTTTAAATTCACAAATCTGTGACTTTTCAAAAACATAGTTATGTTTCATGTTTATGAGTCATCCAGGGTTAATCACATGCTTGTGGAAAACAGCAAGAGTCAAACAAGAAACGTTCCACTCTTGTTATTTTCTCCTCTCCTGTCCTGTCTCATAAGCCAGTACAGAAATGCATTGATGTGTTTTCATGGAAAGCTGGTAAATATGACATCTGAGGGCTTTTTGAAGGGAGCACAAGGTTTCCTCTTGCAGACCAGGCAGAAGGGGCATGTGCAGTTTTTGTGCCTTACATTTTGTAAGAAAAGGCTGAATAAAAACTTTGCAAACTATGATAAGGAGCAGTTGAGCATGTCCTCCAAAAATTGCTGTCTCAGCACTGACAAGCTGTATTGACACCTGTGTTTTCATAGGCAGCATCTCACAGATCACCTCTCCTCTCAAGTGTGACTACCAGCACCTACCAGCAATTACAATAATTACTTAAATATGAAAGCAATATTAGACAGGATAATTAGCTATATATAACTCTTGAACAGATGGCTGCAGTCACTGCAGGTGTCTCCCCTGCACCAGTGCCACATGACAGTGTCGAGCGGAGAGTGTGGACAAAGCAGAAAGGAGCCATCTCTTTTCCAGATGTTTTTCTTAGGTGTCTGGCCTCTGCTTTGCACTGGGAAACCATGGATGCAGCTGGCAGAAAAGGGAGTGCCCATGCCAAGTGACCCTGTGTCTCTATGCCCTGTCACGTGCTAGGATCACTCACCATGGATGTTCCAGAAGAGTTGCAAGGAGGAATTATTTGGAGTAGAAGAGAAAGTCTTAGTTTGGCATTGTTGTTGAAACTGAAGGACATGGCAGCATTGTATAAAGCTGCTAAAAATCTTTGTTATAATACATGATTGTGTTATTAAAGTTAAAATTTCTAGGTATCAGTGGCGAGTCAAAGTAAGAAATTTAAAGAATAATTTTTACTTAGATAATGTCTTTAGTGCATATGACAAAGCAGGAGAAGCCAAATTTGTTTTCTTACAAATTATCTCTGATATTTGAACATGTACGCATTAATTAAGTGTGCCATACTCCGATATTTATATACATATCTGTCTAGGAAACACAGAAACTTACTGTGGGAGGAGAGTGGGGCCACAGGCAGAATGCTGAAGCTGAGTGAGTGCTCTGTTTCCCAACCAAATGAACAGCATCTTCAGAAAAGGAGATGGCTAGGCTCCTGTAGGGATCTAGTGCAGTCACCACGCACATATGTTAACAAAACCAAAGCAAGCAAAACCAGAGGCATTGGCAAGATTTTGGAGGTGGTGGCTCAGAGAGGAGGGATACTGAGAGCAGCATCATTCTGCTGTTGGAAGGCTCTGCAGGCTGGTACAGGGTTGTCTCCAGCAAATAAAGTGCTGGGGAAAGAGAGCTGCTCAGAATTTTGCTTGCCCTTTGAAATGCTCTCTTTGCCCATGCACAAAGGACTCTGGGTGAAAAGAACTTGTCAAAGTTGGAATAATCTTGCTGAAATCCTGCTTCAGAAGAACATGCTTTGGATTGGGTGTTTAGGGGTAACTGCAGCTCTGGCTCTAGGAGGTTAGAAGGCAAAAGCTAAACAAGCAGAAGAGGTTTCCAGCCACAGGTGTGGATGGCAGAAGAGGTGCTTTTGCTGCAGAACAGATGTTATATAGCTGATGACATTTTGAACAGCACATTAGTCTGTGTCCATAAAGCTTTGTCTCCTGACAAAAGTGTCTTTTTAGGGGTAGGAACTTGAGGAATGTCTCTATCTTAATGTCAGATCTCTCTATGATCTCTCTGCGGGGTGAACTTGAGCAGCTTGGTGGGATGTCTCTGTGGTGACCAGTCAGGTGTTCGTGCTACTGCAGGACTTGGGTCATCTTTCCAGACAAGAAAATCTGAGTGAAAATAATGCCAGACTGATTTAGAGTAAAAATTTTAGAATGGACTCATTTAGAATAAAAACCTCCCCAGGTCCCATCCTGCCATCTGGTACACACAGCCTTCCTCTTGGAGCTTTGGGTAATTTCCACTATAGTGCCTGAAGAGGTAGAAAGACCCAGAATTGATGCAGCTTCACTTAGCACATTTTCTCACCCTAGAAGTTCTTTTGGCCAGAGAATCACAGAATCAATTAGGTTTGAAAAGACCTGTGAGGTCATTGAGTCCAACCTATGACCAAAGACCACCATGTCAACCACACAATGACACCGAGTGCCATGTCCAGTCTCTTAAACGTCTCCAGGGACAGTGCCTCCACCATCTTCTTGGGCAGTCC